CTGCGTTTTTCAGAGATATTTCCATTTGAGACAACTATCACCCTGTGTTATCGTGGACAGAGGCATCATTAGAATTGTCCCAAGGAGACAGTATCCCATTGAAAGCGCGGCCGCCGCTACATAAATGAAAAACGCGGCCACGCCCCCCTTATTTCCGGGTTAAGAAGTGTAGATTGTCCAGAATAACGTCAGATGTGTGAGAGTAAAGAATGCAAAAAATCGAAAAGGTTGTATAGCCCTGCTTTCAAGTCACGGCAAGCGTGAAGAAAGAGGCTGCAAGGTGTGATGTGCGCAGCATTCGCAGCAGGACCCAATCCACTCCACGTGGCAGCGCTGCGACCTGCCGACTCTCTTTGTGTCTGTGTCTCTCATGTCAGCTAGCTAGGAAAAAGTGCCATGCCGTAATGAATAAAGTTGAACTGAAATGTCGCAACTTTGAGTCGGGAAACCAGGACAAACCAGTTCTTCACAGTACTGATTTATTCCAAACAAAGTGTTTGAAAGGAATCAGAATATGCAGGAAATATTGTAACTCTGTCTAGAAACCTGTCGCACGTGTTGTTGCCATCATGCATTCGAAGCGACTTACACCCAAAAAATAGGGTACTTGTTTGTTTTGTAATTCCAATCGCGTAATGAACTTATCATTTTTTATCGATTTTGTTCGAAAATTCCATTTAAGATCCTATTTTTTTAGATTTTGTTACGGATGTCGCTCATCATGGCGATTTGTTGGTGGCACTCAGTCGTCTTGGATCGTTTGACGTTCCAGTAGCACAGTTCTATGCGGCGGAGATTGTCGTCGCTTTAGAATTCGTTCACAGGTAAGATTTTAGCTCCATTAAGATACCGTTAATCGATATTCTCTCGAGCACGATGGCTAATGCACCTCAGAAAGGCATTATTGAGGAGGACCGAAACCCTCGCCTTTACTAAAAGACACATTACGCCATGAAAAAGTGGGCGGAGGATCACAGCCATTGTGCTTGCTCGTTTCTCCTTTTCTCCTCCTTCCGTCTGATACCGTTAGGAGGAGCTCAGCGTCAATGGGGGAGACACAGTGGCTGTGAGTCTCCGCCCATCCGATTATCGCGGGATGTATCTACAAGTCTGCCCAAACGGAAGGGTTGTTGTACTGTACGGTTCAATGTGAGGCTCTTCTCTAAGAGTACCCCGTACTGGGTTTGTGGGTGGAGTGGGCCAATAAGGACTGTAAGGGGTCAACCAATCAGCTGTGAACTCCTACCTGATTCGAGAAGATGTTAGGAAACCTAGAAAGAGCTGCATGGTATAAACAGTACATAAATATTTGAATTTTGAATATCAATTTCATTATTTTACAGGTACGGTGTCGTTCATCGCGATGTGAAACCAGAAAATGTCCTCATCCGGAAGAGCGGCCATATCATGCTTACGGATTTTGGTAGCGCCCAAATTTATGACCAGAACTTGTGTAAGTATTGAGCTCGATTCTCATGACCTTTTATCTAATTACTGATTTTTGCTGGAGATATAACTGCAATTATTGATTTTGTTGTTATAGTTCTGAAATTTTGATGGCTGTCAATTTCAGTCGTACACTATGAAGAAGAGGATGACCCTCCCTCACAAGTACGTCAACTATGGCGGGATCAACGGTATATCGAAGCTGCTGCGTCAGGCAGTATGAGTTCATCCACAGAGTCTGATGAGCAAATGGGTGGTGAGTAACTGATCATGAATCTGCTGTTAAGGACATATTCAGCGTCTTGGCGGGAAGAGGGGTGGAAAGGGGGGGGGGGGCTAAGTCTTCCAATAGGTCATGTCAGACCAGACCTAGAAGGCTGTAGCCAATCGTTGGGATGGCTATTATCAGAATATAATAATAAGTTGTCATCTTGCGGATAGAGAATCTCGGCGAACCTTCCGCCCACCTCTGGAAGCCCATGAAGGCCGGACGACCTAACCGGAATACGTGCCCCGTACCCAGTTCCATATACTCGGGGTGATGTTGACTGACGTGCCTGGCGGAGAACCAGTCCACAGTTTCGCTTCATTGTTAAAGTAACCTACAGTTATTGAGGGGGGTAGGAGATAAAGTCTCGTTAGCTGCGAGCGCTAGGGCGCGTCACGTGTTCTGGGATTTGGCGCGACGCCAGCCTATTCTCCTCCAAGGAATGAAAGCGACAATAGTTACTGCACAACGTGTTTGCGCCATGCCAAACCCAGACTTCCTTACGCGCCCCGCATCGAAGCGAACAAGACTGTGCAGGGCTGTACAACAGTTGCGAAAAGTTGAGATATGCAAGGTAGTTCACCCACCCCAAAGCTGTCTTCTCCCGCTTCTCGAGTCGCTACGGAGGCGCTCACGCAGTATTGTAGAACGTGAGACGTGAGAAATAATAAAAAGTGAATGTAGATAGCGTAATCAATCT